CTTTGATTTTTTTTTTTATGAAAATCTTCAGATCCGTAGTTCGAGTTTGGAATTCCCCTAGAGTTCATCCAAATCCCTCAAACCATAGCTCTGATACCAACTTGTAACATCCAAAATTTTCATACCAAATGTTTCATTTTTAAACCAATAGAAAAATAGTTTTCATAATAACCATCTCAGAAAAGTCATAATATCAAATACATTTTCACATCAAAATATTAGACTGTCTCATAATGCCTAGTAACAAAATCTCCCAGTGAATGTATACAATCAGACCTTCATTTTTCCGGCAATCCCCAGATGTACCTGAAACATATATAATCAACAACTGTAAGCACGAGGCTTAGGGAGTTCCCCAAAATACCACACACGGCACAACACAAATAAACAACTATGGGTTATCATCAACCCTGGAGACTACCCGAAGTCTCAACACATATAAACAACACATACACAGTAAGGGCACTTAGACCCGGCTAGTCATCACATGTGTGTGTGTGTGTATAGCTATTCTATCACACAAGTGAGAATAAGTGAAGAGACTCACCTGAACTGATGACTAATAAATCTTACTCCCGAACTGCCCAGAACTAGACTTCGCCTAATAAACACAACAAGTAACTGTAATCAATTAAAGCCATTAACCCAACTCACCAATCCAATTCCCATAACTACGCCCCTTAAAGGCAAAAATATCATTTTTCCCCTCCATGGCCCCAAAACCCTCTGCGTCTGACCAAATGTCAAAAGTCAGCAAAAGTCAATAGTCTTGGTCCGTACGCAGGGTGTACGCCCATCATACACGGCCTGACCCTAAACTCTTAAATAAAATGTCTTAATCCTTTAAGACACTTATTCCAACCCCAAATCTGACCTCTAAAGAATGTCTTAATCCATATAGTCTCTGACTTTAAGCCTTTGCATGGCTAAAGAGGGATCAATCCTAAAAACCGTAACTTTCACAACACTCAAGGTCACTTAACTCATGCATGGGCCAAAGGAAATGATCAAGCAACCATTTTTATGAACCAAGGCATCCTAAAAGACCTAAAAGGACAAATAAAAATCTCTAGAGTGCTCCAACTCACAAAGATCCAAACTTTGGGACAAAGAGCTCATAAATGACCATCAAATGAGATCTAGAAAAGAATATCAACAAGGCATTAACTTTATACCTTCAAAAGATTCACAAAGTGAAGGAGTTTCAAGATCCACAAGCTTACATGCAACACTACCTTCTTCCTCAACAAGAATGCACAAAATTACTAAAAAGGCTCCAAGATCTTCACTCTCAAGGCTATGGTTTGATATTATGGCTTAAAGGGAGTGGAGGTTGATTATGGGAGGTCCAGGGTGAGCTAATGCGTTTAAATAGGGATGAGATCCAAAAAAATTAGGGTTTGGCATCTGCTTGCATATGCCTGGCGTACGCCTAGGGTATGTTGCCTCCTTCTCGACTCACTTAAAGGCTTACGCCCGACATACAAGGTTAGTACGCCCAACGTAAGTCTAGAGATGTGTAACTTAAGTTAATGAAAAGGTTTAAATGATACCTTGGGGTTTGGAATTTTACACAAATGGTTAGTTTTTGTTTCTAAAAATGGTTATATTTAAAAAAAACACACACACAAGAAAGGTTAAATTACTTAATTTCCCGTAAAATAATATTTAAACCCATATTTTGTCGCCTAAAAACATAGAAACGCATTCTCCTAAATTATAACATGATAAATTATTTTGATAATATTAATAATCATTTATCTAAATCAATCATTAAAATATCTATAAGATCGTAAAAACGAACACTATTTTAAGCCCTAAACAATATCTAATGGTTGAAAACACCTTAAATAGTATCAAATGCCTAAACACCTTATATCATGTCATAATTATGTGTTTTCCTAATCGGAACGATTCTCATTAAAATTTTGAATTTAGTCCAATTCTAATGCCAAACATGAGTTCTATACATTTTTCATGGGTGTCTTTGATGGTGTATGAGGTGGGCGACTGCACATGGCCTATGTAGTAGAGGGGGATCAACTTTTACATACAATTTGTTATAGTAGACTATTGATCTAAGTCTGAAAACAAAATTTATTAAAAGGTATCATCATCAGGCCAAAGTCAATTTAATATCTTAGTTTCATCATTCCAAGTCGGAATTCGCTACGATGCTACTTCTTCTCTTGAACTTGCCAAGTCGTTATAGCTGGTTGACGAGTTTTTACAACACTTAAGTATGATGACCAATCAAATATTGACACCAATTAACTTTATCTAGAGTTAAAGCTGATTCACAAGTTCTTACCGAGTGAAACTGGTAACACAATCAATGTTTTCAAATTTATGGAAAAGTCGTTTTTTTTTCTTAATGTAATTAATGCATATAGAGTCTTGATGACTATTCTAGCAACTGTTGCGTCTACAGAAACCAGCTTCTCAAAATTGAAATTGTTAAATTTGTACTTACGGTCCTCAATATCATAAGAAAAACATAATGGCTTGAAAATGATAGATATTAAGAACAATATATTGGTGACTATTGATTGTAAAGAATTCATGCACAACTTTACTTTTACAAATGCTATGAGAACATTGCGATTCATGTAGCTATGTTCGATTGTAGTTATCTTATTGCTCTGTTTTTTAAACAATTATCAACTTATCTTAGTATTAATGAGTTTTGCTTATATATAAAAAGAATTATGATTAAGGGTGCAATTTTATTTCACACGGGACCTTCAAAATCAACAAGACATCCTTACATATTTTTGTGATGATGTCTGTCATTTTTCAATCCTACTAGCCATGTTTTCATTATATGTTATACACATAGCTACATAAGTTGTACCTCATGTATATATAAAAAACATGTTTGAAATCCATTGGAAAATTATACCCAACAAATAACATGTTCAGGAAATTCATAGGAGTTCAAATATTCAGATTTTCAATATATATATATATATATATATATATATATATATATATATATATATATATATATATATATATATATATATGGGACAGTTCAAATAAAAATAGTAATAGTGACAATGTGAAAACATTTTTTTATGTTATTATTCCACAATAAATTTTGTATTAACAACTTTATGTCATTATTCGGCAAAGAATAGTCAAATGTTAAAATTAAAATTAGAATTTACTACAAAACTGCACATACATAAGTTTATAATAAAATAATAACATTGTAATTAATATATGACTAATCGAAAGTTAATATTTATATTAGAATTACGTCAAAACAATACAAATATACAAAATTCATTACAGAATAATAACATAAACATAGTGTTTTTACGTTCTCACACTATTTACTGTTTTTATTTGAACTTACTTCTCTCTCTCTCTCTCTCTCTCTCTCTCTATATATATATATATATATATATATATATATATATATATATATATATATATATATATATATATATATATATATATATATATATATATATATATATATATATAGGGTTGAGATCGGTTGAGAACTCATAGTTTTTCGATAACTAAAAGTGGAGCGTTGGTTCAAAAGTAATTCATTAAGGACATGATCATCATCTTACCAGTCTCATTTAATGTTTAATTTTTTTGTGTTATTTAATATATTAATATAAATGTCTAAAATTTACATCATAAATCAAAATTTAAGATTTTTTTTAATATACTATTTTTCGTTTTTTTTTTTTTTGAGAAAATGTTGATTTTTAATTTTTTATAGAAAACATTAATTTTTGAAAAAAATATTGAAAAAAATATATTTTTTAAAAACTGTAATTTTTTCAAAAAACTGTAATTAAAAAAAAAGTATTTTTTTTTCAAAAAAACTTTAATTTTTTTTAAAGAAAACTGCATGTTTTTAAAAAACTATAATTTTTTTTAAAAAAACTGCAAGTTTTTTTAAAGAAGGTTACATTAAAAAAAAAACCGCATTTAAAAAAAAATAAATTTTTAGGTGCATATATGCATATTTTTTCCAAATGCATATACGTATATTTCTTATACTATAATATTCGTAACTAAATCACAAAAAAATTCTCATTTTTATTAATTAATCTCTAAACATAATAGTACAAGTATTTTATTCGATACAAAATAAAATATAAAAAATAAAAATGCTATAAATTTCAAATCGTTTTCATGTTTTCATATCAATATTTCCTTATTTTCTTTAATTTATCATTTTTCAACCCTTCAATATTCACCACAATTTCTTCTAAATTTATAAGAAAATTTAAAAAAAAATGATTGATGCAAAAACACTCACAAAAATACATATGTGATTTTCATGTGATTAACATATGAATCACATACGATTCACATATGAATCACATACGATTCCCATATGAATCACATTTACATATGACATCATATGAATCACATGTGAATCAAATGTGATTTACATGTGATTAATATGTGAATTACATGTGATTAACATATGAATATGTACGTATATACGTAATTCATATGTAATTTACTTGTGATTTAAATGTGAATCAGATATCATTCATATATGATTTACATGTGATTAATATGTGAATTTTACCAAGCGTATCATACCTGACCAAAAGATTCAAAAATTATAATGCAATTAATTTGTTTAATGCACACAAAAGATATGATCTTATTCAATAATGTTCATCAAGTCTCTTACCATTGAGGCACAAATGGAGCCATCCAGATTGAACCCCAAATCCAGATATATGATAAAAACATATATGTGGTTTAAGATTTCACATCATAAGGTAAAAAAGAAATACATGTTGATTCGAATGAAGTCAATGATTAAGCAGGTGCAGAGAAATCCAATTACAACAACATCATATGGATTAACAGGAGCACGACCTTTCGACCAACCAATACTCAGTATCGAAGTGTACATGGTTGAATGTCCATTTTCCTACCATATTTGATCTCTGATCAACTAATAACTCTTATCATTTTTGCCTCTATTATGTAACCTGAAGAGAAATATTACCTCAAACAGGTGATCTAAGAAGAAGTGGGATAAAGAACCAGTTGATATGAGCAAGAAACATTGGTTCAAGGTAAGGGGGATCTGCACCAAAGCATCAAAAATAGTGATAATATTGAAAGAGCTCGTTGAATTTTCGGGCACAAAAACATTTGGAACTACACTGTTATAATATATGATGAAAACAATAATCAATAAAGCGAAAACGAGAATGCAAGTTAGAGCAAATGTCACTTGATGTATTACAATTTTCGCAAAAGAATGAGCTCCATGTGATGTCACTTCTTCTGAGCTCAAAAGAACCCAAAACCCTCTTAGGCATTTCATCGAACAGATGGTGAGCGGAACAAGGAGATCTCTACTCTCGCGAAAATCAGATTAGCAACATTTTAATGTAACAGATCGAGGTCATGAAAACAGATTCAATCATGAAGCGATTGATGATACTTACTTGATAATCGATATATAGGTGGGAACTGTGGAGGTTGGAGCCATATGTAACAGTGTTTGTGTAGTTTGTGGCGGTCAGAGGTGCAATTGGAAAAGAAGGCATTGGCGGTATAAGATCCTCGCCAGATAGAAGTGATCCACAAATGCGATTCAACGGTTTATTATTGCAATCGAACATAAAAATGAATGAAGTAGATCTCTTGGATCGTGGATTTGACGTCATTGATATGCCATACGAGGATCGTGGATTGGTAGTCGTTGTTGTTTGTCAAAACATGTAGAGATAGAGGATGGAAGGAGGAAGAAGGCGGTAGATGGAATGGATCGTCGATCTTTAGTCTGTGCGTCGAATTCGATCCTCAATGTGGCGGTATCCTTGGCGGAAAACGGTGGCAGAAA